TAATTGAACTATGCTTGACCTGATTCCCATTTCTGAGGGGATACGTAGGAAGCCCTGTGGGTTCGGTCATATCATAATTGTGATGACCCAAAAAGGTTATCACTTGTTTTAGAAATAAATTTTGTATTCTGAGGCCTTAAAAACTTATTTTGTCTCAGCTCAATTTGCGTGCGCAGTCCGTGCGCATAGTCGAAAAGCCATTTTGTGAAAATATGAGAAATAGGAATTTCTAGAGTTAAAAATATTTATTATGATTGACTTTGGTCAAAATTTTCAGCAAACAGACCCGGATCTATGTTCCAACAATCCTGGGAGGTCCGCAGTAAAATATGGGACTTGGGCGTATGCCCGAAAATGAATTTTGAGGTCCCAAACCTTAGAAATCAATTTTTGAAAGAAATTATTTTGCTAAATTATTTATGAAATAAAGAAAAGAATTAATGTTTGAAACCATTGGTATCAGGCCCGTATTTTGGTTCCGGAGCCCGGTACAAAGTTTTTAAAGTATTCAAATGATAATGGTAGTGACACATAATTCCTGACCCATTTTTGGGTCTTTCAGTTGTGTTAGTACTAGTCGACTCAGTTCTGGCTGGCCCTTTTCCAATTGACTTGTAAGTTGTCTGGTTTGACCTGATAGAATTGTGATTGGCGGATTTGTGCATGCCATTGAGTTTCATTTGCAATTCCTCAAAACTTCTTATTCGATTTCACATACTTCATGTTTGAGTTTCCAGGCTTTTACTTCTTTGTTGAGTCTCTTTAGCATCCATCATTTTTTGAGACTCTTTCGAACTAAGATCAAGAATATCCTGCAATTCATTACATCTTTCACAATTATAAGACCTTACCTCGCTTGCTTCACCTCGAGCCATGAAGCGGTTTTCATTGTTATCTTTGCATTCATCGTCTGAAATATCCTCGTCTGTCCAACATCCTGAAAGTTTGTTCATATCATTTTCCAGAATTGTCATGAAGCAAAGATTTGCTACTTCTTCGTGTTCTGAACTGTCTTCATCACTCCAGCTTCCAAATGATTTGTTTTTGTTGAAACCTCTGGAGATTTTTCCTTTTAGATCTGGACATTTAGCTTGAATATGTCCAAATCTTCCACACTCATAGCATTTTACATCACTCTTATCTTGTTCATTGTATTGCCTGGTTCACCTAGGTGGAATCCTTCCTCTTCTCATGTTCCTTATTCTTCTCATTAAGCCATCCATGTTTCTTGACATCATAGTAATTTCTTCTTAGAGAGCTTTAGGATCATCATTGATATCATTCTCAGTTATCTCAGTTGTGGCCTTGAACGCAACTGTTTTCTTCTTTTCTTCTTGGTTTGTTTTCTTGAGATGCATCTTTTCGAAGGCTATGAGTTCTCCACGAAGTTCATCATAAGATAATTTATTCAGATCCTATGATTCAAGTGTGACTACTTTAGTTTGCCAAGTGGTTGGTAAACTTCTAAGAATCTTTCTAACTTGATCACCGCTTGAGTATGGTTTGCCGAAAGCTTTTAAGTTGCTAATGGTTTTACTGAATCTGGCAAACATTTCCTCAATGGATTCTCCTTCTTTCATCTGGAAGAGTTCATAATCGTGAACCAACATGTTGATATGTGTTTCCTTCACTTTGATGGTTCCTTCGTATGTAACTTTAAGCTTATCCCATATTTCTTTGGTTGTATCACAGCTAGAGATTTTCTCATATTCTTCACCACTTATAGAATTGTAGAGCAAATTTCTTGCTTTGTTGTTGACTTGCACAACTGCCATTTGCTCATCTGTATATGAATCTATATCTTCAGGATCAGCAAGAGGTTAAGCAGCAGTCGATAGAGGATAATTTCCCTTTTTGATGACTCTCCACAATTTAACATCATATGCCTTAGCATATATTTCCATACGTACTTTCCACTGGGAGAAATACTGTCCATTGAAGTAAAGTGGCCTTACTTGGGAAGTACCTTCTTGAAAAAGTGTTCATATGATAACTTGATTAGCCATGATCTTTTCTCACAAGCTGTGAAGAAAAAAGAAAAGTGTGAGCCTTGCTCTGATACCAATTGAAAGTACAAGAGGAGGTGAATTGTTTATTTTTAAACTTAATAGCTAGTAGTTGACTAGTTTTACGATTAGTAGACTGGATGTAAGAACTTGATACTAGAAAAGACAGAAATTAAGATGCAAAATTTAAATGAAGAATTAAAGACACCAAAGTTTTTATACTGGTTCGGATTCAATGTTGATGGGTTTTCAATGTCTTTGCCTTATGCTTCTTATTTTTTGATTATCTAACAAACTTATTGTTAAGAACCAGATAGAGAACCCGACTCACTTGGTACACATCTTAAATGAACAAAGTCCATTCTGATCTCCAGCAAATGATCTACTACAAAGAGGAACACAACATGGACCTGATCCCTTGGTGTTCTCTGACAGAAGTACAAGTCAACAACAGTTGGAACACAAATGCAGAAAGTGATTGTATGCAGAAAGTAATTGTCTGCATATTGTACACGCGATAGTGTAGCAGATAGTGCGGAAGTCACTTCTCATTGGGAAGAAGAGTGTATCAAGAATTGACATCACCATTGTGATGTCTTTTGTAGTATAACAACCTGGTGCAAGGCACAATATATTTACTTGAGCATTTAGTGATATTCTCTCAAGCAGAAAAGTGTTCATCCAGCATTGCAGTTACAAGTGTGTCAAGAACAAGAAGACAACTCCACTAAAGGATCAGTTTCACAATGAGTCTATGAGTATCCATAGTTGAGTTGTAAACTTGTTATTTATTCTTAATTGTAACTCCTATCTTGCTTTCCTAGAAGCTGTGTTTTAGGAAACCTAAAAAATCTGTAAACTCTCTGAATTTATATTGTGACTAGGTTTAGTCATAAGTTAAAGTCTTTGTAACTAGAGAGTGACAAAGTGGCTTGTGGTAAAAGTATCACAAGTTAGTTAAGTTGAAATCTTTGTAATAGAGTCATTACAAAGTCGCTTGTAATAGTTAGATTACAAGTTAGTGAAGTTGAAAGCCTACAAGTGTAGGTCGTGATTTTTGTCCCCTTGAGTAGTATTTTTCCATATAAAACTCATGTGTCTCTTTTACTTATCGCTTAATAAGTATTCTCAGCAAAAACTCATAGAGGATCAGGTGCTCTATAGTTTGGTGGACTCATATAAGCTATCAATTGGTATGAGAGCGGGTTCTTTCTAAAAGGTTAACACCTAGAAAGGATCTCAATGGCTGCTCCACCCAACTTTGAGGAAGGACAATCAAACTACAAACCTCCAAGATTAAATGGTCAGTACTACGGCTGGTGGAAGACTCATATGCATGATTTTATAATGGTCGAAGATTCAGAACTATGGGATATCATCTGTGATGGTCTACATGTTCCTATGAAGAAGCTTGGAGAAACTGGACCAATGGTGCCGAAAAACAGAAAGGAGTACAGTGATATTGATAGAAAAGTCATAGAAAAGAACTATCGCGCCAAGAAAATCTTGGTATGTGGTATAGGACCTGATGAGTAAAACAGAGTCTCGGCTTGTGATTCTGCCAAAGAAATATAGGAAACATTGCAAACCTCACACGAAGGAACTACTCAGGTTAAGCAGTCCAAGATTGACATGCTCACCACTGAGTATGAACTCTTTAGGATGAAGGATGATGAGTCTATACGGGATATGCACACTAGATTCACATCCACCATAAATGAGCTTCATTCACTTGGAGATGTTATTCCCAAAAACAAGCTTGTAAGGAAAATTCTCAGTGTTCTACCTGGTTCTTGGGAGAGTAAGGTAAATGTCATCACTGAAGCTAAAGATCTACCAACTCTAACCATAGATGAGCTGATTGGAAATCTGAAGACATACGAGATGAAAAGAAAGAAAGACAGTGAAAGGAGAGAACCAAAGAAGGAAAAGAACCTGGTACTCAAGGTTGAAAATAGTGACTCAAGTGAAGAAGATAGTGATATGGCCTATCTTACTAAAAGGTTTCAAAAGATGGTTTGAAGAAATGGTGGTATATCAAAGAGAGGCAGTTCAAGTAAGGCTAGGAACATTGATCACTATCACATGTGCGGAAAGCTGGGGTATTTCATCAAAGACTGTCCACTTCTGAAACAGGAGCAATACAAATAAAACCCTAACAAAGTAGTAAAAAGGAACACGGCTCCAGAAAAATGATTCAGTCGAAAAAGTGCAGCTGAAAATATTGCGAAACAAGCTCTTGCTCCTTGGAGAGACTCCTCTAGTGAATCAGAAAGGGAACCAGATGCAGAAAACAACTCCATGATGCCAGTGGAAACTGAAGCAATGAAATATGACTCACTGTTCGCGCTGATGGCTCAGTTTGACGATGATGAAGAGGATGAAAATGATGAGGTAAATTTCAGGGACGTTTAGAGAAATCTGAAATCTTACTCTTCTAAGAAGTTAAAATCTTTAGCAAATATTCTAATTGATGCATATTATAGCCTTGATAATGATAAGGAAACTCTAACCATAGAACTAGGAGAAGCTGAACAATCTAGAGATGATCTGGTGGTATTTGTAGTGGACCTAAATGAGACCATAGCTAATCATGAAAAGGAAAAGAAAGTTTTGAATGAAAAATAAATAGTATAAAAAATGAGAGAGATGAGCTTTAGGTAGTGGTAGTTGATTTGAAGGAAACCATAGAAGGTCTTAGCAATGAGAAACACACTCTAGAATATAAAATTGTAGCTACTGATCAAGAGAGGGATGGCTTTTGGTAATAATCACTGACCTAGAGAAAACTATTGAGGGACTCAATTCAGAACATAGGACTGTGAGTCTTGGGGAAGGGAAAGAAGTAGCTAGTGAGACACGCATCAAGCCTGAGAAGGAATTAAATGATGTGAAAACTAGTCTATGTGGTGACTTGAGAAAAATAGACAACTTAAAGCTAAATTGGAGAGAAAAAAAATTGATCTTGAGAAATCTTTGAAGTGGACCTGGTCGTTAGATGTTGTCACTGCCATATACTTCAACAATAGTGGAAACAGGCAATGAATCGGGTTCCAAAAGGAGAAAACTCCCTACAACCCTCATAGCAAGTACGTCACTGTGGGAACAATGAGCACTTCAAAGAAAACTGTCAGGCTAGGGTTCAATCTGTTCAGAAAAATAAAGTGTTTACTGAAAAAGTGACTACTAAAAAGGGACCAGGTACCGCTCGCAAGAAACGAATATTGCCTGCATGGACTAGAAAAGCTCTCATCTATCCCTTTTCTCATAACAAGGGACCCAAACTAGTTTGGGTTCCTAAATCTAACCCATGATTTATATGTGCAGGGAACAGTGAGAAGAAGTGCACTGCAATGGTTCACGAACAGTGGATGCTAAAAACATCATGGACTGTCTCTCGCTAAAAGCCCTGCAGAAAAGAGAATGTATCATGTATATGTATAAAAAAAAGGAAAAGGAAAGGGGGATACATTCTCAATGTTGAAAAGATGGAAAGTATGTGTCACACTCAATTGACAATATGTGCTGTCACACCTCCTTTTTACCATCCGAGGTGGTATATAAGGGAGTTTTTCAATTAAAGTGACATTATTCGAAATTGGATTATTTTATTTAATTTCAGAGTCGCCACTTGGAATAGTTTGTTTGGTGTCTCAAGTCACCAGTTTATTTTAAATCCCAAATTGAGGAGAATTTTGACTTTATTTAAAAGTTTGCGAAACCAAAAATTCTAGATAAGAAATTCTGTTAACCCGGAAGAAGGTGTTAAGCATTCCCGGGTTACGTGGTTTGAGCACAGTCACTTAAACTATTAATAATTGGCTTATTATCTGATTTACTACATGTTTTAAACATATTCTGCATTTTTAACTTTATTACTGCTTTTTAATTATTTTAACCGCTTTTAGGATTTATGGAATTATTTCTTGAACAAGTTACGATTGTCGTGCACTTGCCATTTTGGAACACACCGCAAACCATGCTACATGAAATGCACCCGCGATCCATGACATGTTTATTTTATTATTGTTCGAAGTTGTTATGATCAAGTCACATGAAATGCACACCCGAATTTGGGAATTAGGTGCCATAACTATGTCACAGGAACCGTACCCATAATCACAATGATTTATTAATTAATCGTGCCTAAAGCAAGTTACGATGTTCAAGTAATTCTATTGGATTTAAAATTATAGTAAGGCCAAGAGTTTAACATATGACAAATAATTCAAGAGTAATAGCACATAAATTTTCAGAAAGCACTGAAATATAAATCTTACTTATATATACATTATCCGAATTCTAGCCAAATATGAAACTATAGTGGCTCTAATCTCAACAACACAAAACTTCATTATCCGAATTCTAGCCATAGCAAAGTTTCTTAATTTTGGACGAGCTTCATAAACATCAACTACGGTTTATATTTCAACTAAAGAAATTGAATTTCAGTCACTAATACGCAATTCTTGAAGAAAATAAAATAACGTTCAAAAGGGACTATGTGAATCTGCAAAAAGAGAAAAAAACATTGCTAATAATTTAGAACACGTCCCAATTAAAATTTATGATTTAGAGAATCGGGATGTCAACAAAATCAAGAAAAAATACAAAAAATTCAGAGATTCAATCAAAATAGAATATCCAACAGTTATATATCCCTTTTATCAAATCTAGGCTTGTGAAACTAACTAAATTTTACTTATACAAGCAATTGTAAAACTCCTCACTTCAAATTATCCTTTCAACCCACATGGATAAGCAGAACTTTCTTATTAATAATATGAAAGGAGCACTGAGCACTTGACCTTAAAAAAATTAACAGTGATGAGAAATATACATCCAGCTTAATTATTCAGTTTAAGCTAAACCAACCTGCAACTAGTATCAATCGAAATTAGTTTAACCCTGTGAGATCGATTTTAACACGAGCCATTATTTTAGGAGATGAATCACTGTCAAACATAAGCGTTTAACTCATTTAAAAATCTACTGAACAGTTTGAATGTTCAATGAAACATGTTCACGGCATCAGACATTAATCATGAAATGGAATTTCAAGCAGATTTAGATATTAACAGGCTGGATCTAAGAAAACAACCACAAACTTGACATGAACAAATCAGATTTCATTCATAAACATCAAAATAAAGGATAACAGATGAGTGTTCACATACCTATAACAGAAAAATAGATAACAACGACCAAATAAAGGTTTGAAAATGCAGGGAATAAGCTCAACAGCACATGAACATCAGACTTGATTCCAAATTCCGATTAAAACAGGTTGGAACCCCATTTTTAGCTTGCGAAATTCCCGGATTTGAGAATTATAGAAAAGAGGAAAAGGTTTTCTTCTGTATCGGTGTGTGTCTCTTTGATGAAATTGGACAATGGTCTTATTTTTATTTTTATTTTTTGATGACTTCTTTTGCTTTCGAATTTTGGTTAGCAGGAGATGTCCGTTGTTTTCTTCTGCTTGGGAGGGGATCTCTTCTTCTGTGTTGTGTAAGAATGAAAAAAGAAGAAAGAAGATGGAGAAGGAGGGGTCTGCTTAGAGCTGATGGAAACGGCGCTAGGTTGGGGTCTTCTCCTAGGTCTAAAATCTGATCCTCAGGTCTTTTGGTCTAGGTCTTAATTAAAAGGGAAGGGAAATAGGTATTGGGTTTTGGGCTTGAATGGATTTGGGTCATGAATTTTAGCTAATTAACTTTAACCCAATACACTAAGACTAAATCAAAAATCTTTTTTTTTATTTTCTTTTCTTTGATTTTAAAAATCTAATAAAATCCTAAATCAATCTAATTTGTAGAAAAGTAAAAAAATTTATCTATTAAAATAACTTATTAACTTAAAACTAAATAAAAACACTACTTTCTAAAGACTAAAACCTAAATATGTAAAGATGACCATTTTTTGTGATTTTTCTTAATAAAATTAATTCCTACATGCGAATTGAACCTAAGATGGTATGAAATTAAAACGTGGAAATTTTTATGATTTTCTGTGATTTTAAAAATATTAAAAATGCATGAAATGCAACTAAATAAAGAAAAACTCCTAAAATCAATAAAAATTATTTTGGTGTATTTTTAAGAGTTATTTTTATGTAGGGAAAAAATTAGGTGCTCACATGTGCCATGAGAGCTACCTGAAGCACAGTCTCTTGAGTGTGTCTCAAATCTGTGTTAAAGGGAGCAAAGTGGAGTTCTTATAAAAAATGTGCACATTTACCAATCTGGTGACTGGTGAAGTGGCCGTAGTCGCCAAAAGAACAAGAACATCTACTTCGTTGACCTTAAATTCCTACAAACTGGTGATATGAGTTGCTTAAAGGCTATTGACAGTGATGCTAATCCTTGGCATAAAGGATTGGAACACTCAAGGCTCTCACTTTTGAATGAACTGACTCAGAAAACCTGGTTCGTGGGCTGCAAAATTCAAGATCCATATGGACACTGCCTGTTAGAGGAAAGGAAGAGACTTTTTGAAGTATGTATGACACTTGTCAGGAAAATCCAAGTGTAGATGGAACTGAAGGAAGCACGTATCAGATCTCACCACAGGATAGAATATGTCAATGCCAAGATTTGATGGGTCTAGTAATGGAAATAGGATCACTTACAATTTTTCAGCACCAAGGACTCCACAGTTAAATGGTGTTGTTGAAATGAAGAACAGAACTTTGGAAGAAATGGACAATGCTCATCAACAGAGGAATTGGCAAGGAATTCTGGGCAGAAGCAACAGACATTACTTACTACTTGGCAAACAGGTATATGATCAGGTCCCTCCTAAAATCCCCAAGAGCTGTTCAACAAAAGACAATCAAAGATAACTCTTCTAAGAATCTTTGGATGCAAATGCTATGATCTATACAAAAGAAAGGACCAGCTTGGGAAGTCTAATACAAAAAAAATGGTGAAGAAATCTCTCTGAGATATTCCCCTTAAAGCAAAAGTCTATAAAAATCTGCAACAAAAGAGCACAATGTGCGGAAGAAAGTGGTCATGAACTATTCAACTAGACTCCTTCTAACATGGAAGGAAGCAGTAACGATCAAGATAATGAACTACTTTCTGTCCCTGGGAAATATCTGCTGTTTCAAATGGGAAAGCTTATGTGATGAGTCAGATAAAGAAGACATATGAAGACAATGCAATATCCACTTCCACTTCTCAATAGGAACCTGGTACTCAAATTACTACCATAGAAGATGAAGAAACAGTTGGAGATGCAGTACAAGGTACTCCACAAGTAACAAAACAAGTAGTGCAGGAAAATTCACTCAATTTACCCAGCTCCTCCACTCTTCAAACATCAGTCCCCATTTGGAAACACAAAAGCTCCCATCCACTCGATAACATAATCACCCCTCTTGATTCTGGATTTAAACAAGATCAAAAGCCAAAAAAAATCCTAGTCCTTTTTGTATTTCTATCACAGATAGTACCCAAAATCAAATCCTAGGGAATATCACTTGAAGGCTACCAAAAGAATTTTGAGATACCTTAAAGAAACACAGGACCCGGTCCTGTATTACCCTTTAGGTGACAAATTTAAAGTTCATTGTGTATGTTGATACTAACTATGCAGGTTATCGTGTGGACAAGAAAAGCACAATTAGAATAGCCACTTTCTATGATCATGTCTCATGTCTTGGTGCACAAGGAAGCAAACTCAGTGGTCCCTGAAATGGCTGAAGTAGAATATGTAGTTGTAGCATCCTGTTGTGCTCAACTCTTATGTATTAAGCAGCAACTGGAGAATTTTGGGGTATTTACTGATTGTGTTCCTCTTCTATATGATAACACCGGTACGCTCAACTTGGCCAAGAATCCAGTTCAACACAAAAAGACCAAACACATTAATGTGAGGAAACATCATTCTCTGAAGGAAAATATGGATAAAGAGTTGATCTGTATGAAGTTCTGCAGCACAAAAATTCCAGATATCTTCATCAAAGCCTTGAGTAGGGAACTCTTTGAAAGAAACAAGGTGAAGCTGGGGGTATTGAAGCCAAATTGTGAACCTGTTTCTCCATCAGTTGGTTATAAAATTACCTTCAGGTAAAATGAGCTAAAGTGTTTTCTAGCCAAGCCTAACTCACATCAATACTGTTGCAGGTAAACACGCATGACGATCATAGAAGCTAAAGGTGCAATTATGATTTGCGAAAGAAGAGCTGCTAAAATCTTTTTCAAAAACTATTCAGGCATCAGGTTCATGTACGACAGGTTAGTAGTAATGTGTTGTTTTGCATGCTTTCTCAAAAAGGGTTAACAAAATTAGTTCAACTGCCACATCATCCAACTTTTCAAAGTCTGCATGCCATGTCTTGTCTTTCAAATCCTTTCATCCCTTCTGCACAATAACGTTTTCTCACAAACCTACCACCATTTTCAGAACTGTTCAGAACCCGTTTCTCTCTCTTCTCATCATTAGCCTTTCTTCCCATAAAACTCTTTTTCTCTCTCATAGCAAGTCATGAACCTTCATCTCTTTTGTATTTCTGTGATCCTCTCTTCATCTCTTTATCAATCAACTTCCTTATCAAATCCTCCTATAATGGCAATTGAACGATCGCTTCCCTCTCCCACCATCAATACCACTCCCACTTCCCTATCATCTTTAAAGTCATCTCCAGAAATTCACTCTTCCACTCCTTCCAATACTACTGCACCCACACCTGTTTCCTCCTCATTTCCTTTTGTTTTTCTTTTTCTGTCAAACTCTGTCTCCTTTCCATGCATTGAAAACCCCATGTCTCCTCATTCCTCTGATCTCACCAAAGAACATTCAGAAAGGGTCACCTCTTATGTGTTAGAGGTTTTTGAGGATGATCCCGATCAATATCTTAACTCCTCCCTTTTGGACTCAGTGGCTCTCACAGAGTCACCAGAAAAGGAAGCAGCGCACAATATCATGGCTATCGCTGCTAAAAGTCTGTTGAATGAAAGAACCTATCTCTTGTATGAGTATCAGGGGGAAGAAACTCCATTCCTAGGCGATGAAAGAACCATGGTACTCTTCGAGTCTCTAATCCATGAAACTGTCCTAGAAAAACCTGTTGGAGGATCTGATTCTCTTCCAGATAAATCCACTCCTAAACCTTATGATTACCCTAAGTCGTTATAATCTGCTTCCAAGTCACCCCCTATCAGGTTGCAGCAGAAAGAGGGGTTTTAGTCCACATTGCAGAAAAGTAGGAGGAGTGTCAAGACAAGGAAGAAAGGGTTGATGAATCAAGGGAAAGTTGTTACTGAGAAGAGCATTCCAGTAGGTGAGGTTGACAAAGATGCTCTAAAGGAACTCGGTTCCTTAGTAAAACAATCTATAAAAACCAGAAGTCTATGGATAAAGCTTCCAATGAAGCTATTGAGAAACAAAGTGGAGCATCCGTGAAGGGCAGCAGTATGTCTAAGAAGAGTCTAGCTGAGCAATCTATGTCTGAAGATGATACTATGGGGCTAGTAAGTTGGAAAGGGAAGTCTGTTGAAAGATCTAGACAATGTAAATGGGAAACTGTAAGGGAACCTGGTTCTCTAAAGACCATGCCCAGTGACAGTGGTCTTTGGCAAGTGAGATTAAGAACTCAGAAAGTCTTGTGGGGTCGTACGTTTGATCCAGCAATTTCAGAGATGGCTGGTATGAGGCAAATTCTGGAGATAGTGGAATTTCAGCAATGGGAGCACTTGTTTCAGGGGAGCATGCCTTTGGTGTACAAAGATGCGATATAAGATTTCTACGCATCTCTCTTCACTGTTGAGGGAGATCACATCTGTGTGCTAGTAAATGGAGTAGACATTTGTACTTGACGCTTCAGCACTGGGGAAGGTTCTCTAAATTCTATGTGAAGGAATGTCCTCAGTCAAAGGTGTTTGTGGTGTCAACTTTAAGAGAGCTATCATGAAAGATCAAGCTATTCAGCAGAGGGAACAGGTGCATAAGAAGGTATTACTTCCTGAGTATCAGCTTCTCTTTGAGCTAGTTAACAAGGTGCTTTTACCTCGTTCTAAGAGGCGGTCTATTTCTACAAAGTCTGATATGGTCTTAATGGAGGCTCTTGATGAGTTTGTCCCAATCAATCTACCAGCAATCATGATAGATCATATGCAAAAGGTAGAAAACTCTAAGGGAGGGAATAATGGACTACCATATGGCTTTCTACTCACTCAAGTGTTAAACTTTTACAAGGTCCCTTTGGGTAATCCCAGAGTAGGCACACGCAAGCAAACCTTCTCTAAAACTACTCTTGAAGAATGTAAGTGCGTAGAAAGGGCTGGTAGAAACATCTCGACCATTTCTCAGCTGATCAATGCTCAAAATGTTGCTTTTGAAGAGATCAGAAGATTGAGGGCTCAGAATGCCATACTAAAAACTCAGGTCAGTCAAACGGTTAAAGAACCCGGTTCCGTTATTGAAAAAGTTGCCCGCCTGACAAAAGAAAATAGTAGGCTTTGTGCAAAACTACTTGAAGAGCAGCTATCTGCAAATGCCCGAGTGGACATGGTTCTCAAAACCCTTGCTGCTTCTCACTCCTAGTCTTCCTCTTCTTGTGCCTCTTAGATACTCCCTAGTAACCAGTGTCTTCTGTTATGATGT